AAATTGAAAGAAAAGGCTGGCATGTGAAAATCACGCACCACAAAAAAAGATCCCTTTTTAACGCGGAGGTCCTCATTTAGTTTTTGATTTTTTAATTATTTTTTTTTGTCTCCCTCCTAGTCCGCCCAATGTGTGCTTCTTTTTTTTTTGTGTTTTCGTCTTATTCTCCATTTTTAAAAAATATTTATATAATAAATTAAAAAATATGAAATATAACATTGTGATAGTTATCAAATCAGCAAAATTTATCTCTTTTAACTCAATATGATAATTTTGTGCAAAAAGTTTATTAAAATATTTCCATACCCAAAATATATATATTTAAAAATATTGATGAGAAATTATATTTTCTCCAGTCAAGGAAGAGTTATATAATAGTAAATAATGTAAATTTTTTCTGCATTATTTTCAAAAAAGTTCTTTGTATTTGTTAAATACATTTTGTGCACTAAAACAAATATTTCATTGATCTCAAAATGGTTGTTCGATGTAGCATTTCACTATTATCTTTAATAAAATTTTAAATTAGACAATTATTTTAGGATTGTGCAAATATAATATTTTTCAAAAGTTTCAAAAATTTTAAAAATAAAATGAGAAAAAAAAAGATGCTTGATCCGGGACTTATTTGTTTATTGATCAAAACTTTCACATAACTGATTTTCTGTAATAAAATTTTTTTATACATACATAATCAATTATATATTTAGTACAATATTAAAAACAAAATTTCAAAATGAACAATAATTTTGGGACAGAGAGAATAGTTAATAAAAGAATATTAATATGTATGAACTGATGTTTATATTAAATATTAAATTTTTCATCAAAAGATGCGAATAAATTACCCAAAATATCCAAAAATTAGAAATTAAAAATTTTAAAATCTAAAAAAACGGAGAGAAACAAGGAGATTTTATTTATTATTTGTTTGTGTGTTGACTGAGAAGAAGGAAGTTTTAACTATCATATTAATAATCCTCAAGTAATTAAAAAAAATCATAACTGTCTATTGTATATAATTAATTACAAAATTGATACAACAAATTATATACAAAAAATGTATTTTTTTAATAAGAAAAGTTAGAATTGTTTTAAGTAGTTAGACAACAAGCAATTTCTAATATATAAATTCTATAGCATCCAAACGCAAGAAATGGTATTAGAACCTTAATTCTAGTCAATTATTAAGATCTTCCAAACAAAAGAATTAAGATTGAATTGCAATATAAATATCTTATTTTCAATTCAATGATATTGTAATTCTAATTCAATTACAATTTAATCTAACTAAACGGAGGCTGAAGATAGTCGTTTTCTTCTCCTTGAAATCAAGACTCATTCCCAAATATTTACTTTGAAACTGTCCCGTAGGGATCTTGAGAATGGAATGAATGAAGTTCTTCATTTCCAGGCTTGTATTAGCACTAGTGAGGATTGAAGATTTGTGGAAATTTATGCACTGGCCAGAGAAGTTGGTGTAGTTTTCCAGTAATCCTGTTAAAGCTAAAACAGAAGACTCCTTGCTCTCAATGAAAAAGAGACTATCATCTGCATAAATGAGATGACTCACCCTGGGTGCATGGCGGCTGATTTTCATTCCTAAACCTGGAAAGTTGTGGATCTTTGATGTAATGGCAGAAGATAGGACATGCTGACAAAGGATAAACAAGTATGGAGACAAATGATATCCTTGGCTCAATCCTTTATTTGGAGAGAAGGGTGGTAAACTTTTGCCATTTAATTGAAGGGAATAGGAGACTGAAGTCACACAGTGCATGATCAAAGAAATTAGTCTAGGAGGAAAGTTCGCCTTGTGAAGGACAGCCTGTAAGAAAGACCAGGAGATTCGATCATAGGCCTTACTCATATCCAATTTGATGGCAGCCAAACCTGTCTCACCTTTTTGCTTCCTTATGCATTCAATGACCTCATGAACAATAAGAATGTTCTCGCTGATGTTTCTGCCTGAAACAAATTCATTCTGGTTCTCATCAATAAGATCATTCATAACATGTTTGAGACGATTCGCAATCATCTTTGCTATGATCTTATACTTGACATTACACAGACTGATTGGACGGATGTCATTTGGGGTCGTCGGAGTAGACGTCTTAGGAATGAGGACCAAATGAGTCTGGTTTCATTCTGGAGGAAAATACATAGTATTGAAAGCATCCAGAATTGAGGATTGGACGTCCGGACCAATGATGCTCTTGTAATGTTGATAGAACCCCGCTGGCATCCCATCAGGTCCAGGAGACTTCCAAGGAGACATTTGCTTGAGGGCAGACCACACTTCTGACACTGTAAATGGAGCATTTAACTGAGCTGCTTGATCTGACGTCAAAGATTCACTCACATTTGCAAGAAGACTGGTGAGGAATGAAGAAGACTGAGAATTCTGAGAGCTTGATTCCACTGACATGTAAATATTTGAGAAGTGACTCAGAAGCAGAGAGCAAATCAGGTTCTTGAACCCACAAACCCTGAGCATCACATAGCTTAGTGATCCATTTGTTCCTTTTCTTTCTAGCAGCCCATTTATGGAAGAATTTGGGGTTTCTGTCTCCAAATTGTGACCAGGTAAGCTTGGTCCTCTGATGCTAATAATCCTGTTATAGCTGTAGTGCTTCCTCCAATTCCACTCAGTGCTGTTCAAGCTGCATGCTAAGCTGCTCATCTGATTTATTTCTTTCCCATTGCATTTGAGCTTGTGCCAATTTCTCAGTCAGCTTGAAGACTAGAGTGTCCAGGTTGCCATAACGCCTCCACTGATGGAGTGTAGACAAAGTTCTATCCAGTCAGAATGAGAGGCTATCCTGGGGACTATCAATATGAAGTGGGGAATGAGTCCAAGTTTGGGTTACCAAATCCTTTGAAGAAGGACAATTCAACCAGAACTGCTCAAATTTTTTATGTCTCTTCTGAGAGCATTTTTGCTTAAGTACCAAAAGAATTGGGTCATGATCCGAGCTCATGATTGGAAGGTTCCTTATGACAGCCTTGTTAAAAGCGGTAAGCCATTGCTTGTTGACAAAAGCACGATCTAACCTTTCAAAAATTGCCTCATGCCCTTGTCTCTTGTTTGTCCTTGTATACCAACAACCCAAATGCTTCAATTCCTCTAAGTCATTAGAAGACAGTAGCTGCTGTATGTTTCTTGTGTCTTGAGGCCTAACTAGATGCCCACCAAATTTATCCTCTTGATCTAAGATTTGATTAAAATCCCCTAACAAGATACTGGGGTATCTACAATCCTGGATGATCCCATTTAAATGTGACCAAAATGCAGCCCTGTCTTGCTGCGAAGGGGGACTATACAGAAAAATGGCCAGCCATTCCAGGCCTGTAGTTTCCTTAACCTTAGTAACTATTACATTGGCATTCTGATAAAGCACACTTAACTGAACACCATCAACCCAAAAAAGACACAAACCACCACTAAGTCCTACAGGATCTATTACAACGGAATTATTAAAAATAGAAAATTGTTGCCAAGCCAACACATTAACCTTACTAGCCTTGGACTCCATCACAAACAAAATACTAGGCTTATAATTCTTAACTAATCTACCTAATACATATTTGGATGAGGCATTATTCATACCCCTACAATTTCAAGAAAGGATATTCATGGAAACAAAGGCAGTTGATCTGGTTCAACCGCCACAAAAGACTTCAGAAAGGTAGAGAACTTACGAGACACCGTAGTCTTGGTAGTACCAAATGCCTCCAAACCTTGGCTACTTTGTAGATCAAGAGCCTCCTTTTGTAAGGTTGTGTAATATGGGTATGCGTATGGCCCACCTCAAGGGACTTCCTTTTACCACCAGCAAAAAAATAACAAGAGCTTGAAAAACCAACTGAGGAAGATTTACTAGAGGAGCGTTTCCACTTCCTGTTGGGTCTGCCTATCATTTTTTTGTGGAAGTTGACGGAATGGGCATTAATCTTGTTGATGGATGGTAAGTTTATTGTGCTCCCCTGATCAACAACCATCTGTGGTACTGCATGTGTGATTTGTTCTTCATGTACTAAATCCATGGGCTCTGCTGAAACCGAACCAGAAATATTATCCTCAACAGGAGCTCCTTCAGGTTTGGAAGTGGATATTGGCCTCCATATCATTTGCTCTCTCTGCTTACAAGGAAAGCGTTCATGTGCACCACTATGCTTCTTTTTCTTTTGGTTACCTTTCATTGGAGAATCTTTAGTTGGAGACCCCCTTTCTGGAGATGTAGCTTTGCTCAAAGTCATGGAAATGGTAGACATCCCATTTGTCATTTTAGTAGATAAATTTTGTTGAAAATCAGTAAAATGACATTTAAGTAACTCTCCGATGGCTATTGCTTTTGGAATGGCAAAAGCCAAAGCTGAAATTTGTAAAGAATTCTGCTGTTGCAATAGATTCATATCAAATTCATTTAACCACTGATTAGCTAAAGCACATATTCTTGTTCTTCGTAGCTAAAATACTTTAGATATCAAGTACTCAAAGCTGTCAAAACTATTGTCCCACGTCAATCCCCATGGAATGATTGAATTAAAATGCGTCCATAGATTCACACGAGTAGAATTCCAAATATGCATCAATCAAGAAGGTACTAATATTTATATAACGGGCATGTAATTCTCCGCGCAGCGTGCGGAGTAGATCTCGGCTAGTAAATTATAAATTGTACATAAACGTTGAATATTTTGGTGGTACGAAGTGAATATTAACTATGGCTATTTTTTTAGTCAAGGTGTTCAAAGGGCTTTCAAGAACTTGGCAGTTGGCATTATTGATTAAAAGGTATGTCTCTTATTGCTTACCATTTCCTTTCACATTCAGAATTTACATTATTATGAGAAAAGTATTAAAGTTGAATAATGAATGGTGTTGTGTCTGTAGACTGACTGTCCTAAAGCAGTAAGTTTCTCAGTAGTTTTTAGTACCCGTTTTGGGCAATTTCAACACTACAACACATACCTGTAGACCACACTCACACAACCATTTTAGGCTTTCCATTCATTTTCTCTGTTGTTTTAGTAATTATTCTGGGCAATTGCAATCCTGCAAAACACACACACACACACACACACAACCATTTTGAGGCTTTCCATCCAAAAATGAGCTGAAAAATCCTAATCACAACAACTGAACAACATAATGGCATAAAACGCAAAGGCCTGAAAGTGGAAAAAAAATCCCTTTTTTCCTCCCATTCCAAAAGCTTATCAAAAAGCAGAGTACTTTGTTTCTTGAACAAAATTCAGTTTATTTTGCTGTATTTTGCAACGTAGCTGTCTACATTCTTGAATAATTGATCCCATTTCGTTCATATCTCTTTCAAATCAAAACCAAAGAATCTTATAAAAAACCATATATCCCTGAACCAGAGAAAATGGAGGATTCATCAGGAGACCTGTTGATGGAGGAAAGGGATGAGCTGATGGTTCCCTTTGCTCACACAGATGAAGATCCAACTTTTAGAACAGCCCATTTTCTCAAACCAACTCTTGGTTCAATCCAAACTCATTCTGCTGCTTTTCCCCTTTTATCAAATATCAGCAGCCCTGAATCTGATAGGAGGTCTAAAAATGTCATCTTTCCTGGATGGAGAGGCACACAGGAGGGTTGGGAAGAATGGGTTGATGAGTTAAGCCCTTTATATGGAGATACATGGAAGAAAGCTGGAATCTTTGACGCAATCCTGGCTTCCACTTACCAACCTAGAAGAACCAAGTTTCAGACTCAGTTCATAATGAAGCTTGTTGAAAAGTGGTGTCCTGAGACTAACACATTTATGTTCTCTTGGGGTGAAGCCACCATTACACTTGAAGATATCATGGTTTTGGGTGGATTTCCTGTTTTAGGACAGCTTGTTCTTACCCCTGTTGAATCTGAAGAAATGCTTGCCCTGGAGGAACAACTGAGAAAAATCCATACAAGGATTAGTCATGAAAAAGGTCAATGTGCAAGGGAATCTGCTTGGCTTGAACATTTCAAGGGAGGTGAAGATAAGACATTAGAGCATGAAGCATTCCTTGTCTTGTGGCTATCAAGGTATGTATTTCCCGGAAATCATAATATTATAGCGAAAGATTTGTTCCTGATTGCCATAAATCTTTCTAGAGGGATACTTATTGCACTTGGTCCCGCTGTTCTTGCAAGCATTTATAGTGATTTGGGTTTGTTCAAGAAATTTTTACAGCCTTTAAGCAATCTTGGAACTGGTGAATGTGCTAGCAAGAACACACAACTTAGCTTGTGTTCCCCTTTAAGATTGGTACAGATTTGGGCTTGGGAGAGATTCCCTACCTTATGTCCTAAGCCTAATCTCATTCTATTGGGAAAAACAAGATCAGCTAGATGGTTTGAAGTGAACAAATGGGTGGCTCCAAATGATATTCAAAAAGCTTTAGATTCAGCCAAGGATGATTTTCTATGGCGACCATATGCTCCAACTCTGACAAACTGGAATCCTAAGAAGTTGTACCAGGAACATGAACAGTACATAATTGTCACTCCTAATATAGATTCCGAAGTTGAGACCTTGGTTCGCTGTTGGAGAACTTCAGAGCTGGTTGGATTTGACTGTAAAGAACAGTATCTTCCACACAGGGTTGGTATGCAGTTCGGATTTGACCAAGATGTTCCTGGATTTGTCGAAAGATGGAATGGTCATACTGATGAGTTTGCTTGGAACCATTACAACAGGCCAATTAGAGATGAAAAGCTATACATACCAGCCAGATTGTTTGAAGCAGATGTAACACAAAGGTATCTGGAACTATGGAGGGCTCATCAGTTGAAGTTAAGGAACGGAATTGGTGCTGGAAATGATGCCCTGCCTCATGATGTGATGCAGCAAGCCAGTGCTGATGTATTGAAGGATGATGATATGATAGCTGAAAAACAGTCGGATGTTGAAAGCCTCTCATCTTCACAGAAGAATAACATTCCAACTCTTGTTAATAACAAATTGTTCCCTCTACAAAAAGATGATCCAATAGTTGAGAAGCAGGCAGGGAAGGATATCCCATCCTCTTCAGTTGAAAATGATGATGAAAATGCTGAAGCTGTACCAGAGAAGGAAGAAAACACAAATGGTGATGATCCCAAATTAACGCAAGAAATTCACGAAACATTTGGTACTTTTGCTGCAGGTAAAGAAGAGTCTCTTACTGAAGTTGCTGAAATCTGTGGAGAGAATGGCAAAAAGTTTCCAAATAGACTAGTCATGTTAAGAAATGAACTGGAAATTCGGAACATCAGGATTGGAAGGCTTGAGAAAATAGTTGGTCAATTGAAGAAAGAGAAATGCAAAAACAGCATTCTTGAAGATCAGAGAAAGTAAATATGCTAGCTGTTGTTAAGATTTTTGTCAACTTTTACTGTTAGCATTTTGAAGCAGGAATGTTGAAAGAAATCAATGGCGATGCAGTGCGGAAATTTATGTGAATCTTTGCCTGATTGATACCTCGGAGGAACTTCACAAATTAAATATAAAAGTAGTGGCCTGAGATTCACCGATGAGAGTAAATTGTTCGTACTCCCGATAGACTTCATTTGTTCATTTATCTCATGTTTAACATAGTAAGATTCTGGCTGGTTGCTGAAGAATCTTTCTGCTAAGTTTCCAGGATAGTAGATCATTCTTGTTATTGGAAGTGTTTGGTTTTTTTTGCTTACTCTGGTGAGCGCGAGCTACATTATTTCAGATGGTGACTAACAGTAAATTTTACATCAACCAACCGGAAGTTCTCCTGAATCTTTCAATATATAGCAAGTATACCTTTTCTTTTTCAATGTTCATGATGATCTACATCGACTCTTTCGTTGATTCTTGTCTCTGAATAAACTGATGGATTGTGGATATATCAGCATTCAGTTCTTAACTTGTGCGTGTCGTTCTCTCGCAAGAATCATTTTAAGCTTTATTGAATCACTGCAAAATTTTCAGGTGTTATTCTTTCTTGCGCATGAATCATTTTAGTCTTCGTTGATCACTGTATTGTTAATTACCGAATGCAGCAAAGCCACCGACAAAAATGGAAATCAAACCTAAGGCGAGGATTCTGTTCTTGAGGCAGGAAAATGTACGAAAAATTTTAACAAAATTTGGTGATTTTATTGAAGCTAAAGAAGTAGAAGTTTTGCAGGAGAATGTTATGCAGCAAATATACAGCAGAAGAATATCATCTTTTCTGTTCTGAAGTGGGTTGCAAAATCTGTTGCCTAGAGACTACACCGTAAAACACCTACTAAGTCATCTAATCTCAAACTTACTGCTTTTGACACAACGTTTGTACCTCCTCAATTGCGAGAGATCCATCCAAAAACAATGTAAAAGAATAAGCGAAAAATGATTACAAGATCATAAAATTAAACCTTTGAGTACTAAATGTCATTAGAAGACATGAGGATAGAAAAAGAACAACCAACCATTCAGCAAGAACAACACACGAAACCAATCCTAGCCATATTTGCCATACAAAACTAGATTAAATGGTGGCACAGAATGCTAAAATAAGAGCAAATATATAATTCTACTAGTCTTTGGATTGTAAAGTAATAAGTCCAAGTGTTTCATATGTAGTACTCCATCCATCTTAAAATTATTGTCAAGTTTGGATTTTCATTTTTAGTTCAATCCACTCCGTAATTCACTAGTCCTTGATGTGCAAATACATTGAGACTTTATTCCAAGATTCCTCAACTGTGTAGTCTTTCATTATCCATAAATCCGTTCTTCCATAGTCATAAAACAAGGAAAAGCAACCTCCCAACACTATGATTCTACGATCATAACTGATCTTTGTTATTCGGGTTGGTAAAGCAAAGCGATAAATTTTCCAACTATCAAAGCCTTCACAGTCAGTCCAATGGAGCTTTGCACTTACAATAATACCGTGTAGAAAAACTCTTAAACGTGCTTCAGTTTCATAACGTGCTTTATTTAATTTGTCATTAACCATTAACATTCCATAGGTCACCTATTTTTTTCAGAACGGAAGGAAATAATGTGACCACATTGCCTTAAAGGAGGGAAAAAGTTTCATTCTCGATAAAATTCATGGAATGACTCCTACTATATATATCCTAGGTATCTAAGCAAGTGTTATTTCTTACTTTCCATCGTTTTGGAAACTAAAATGTCCAATGAATTATGATAAGCACAAGTAATAATTTACAAAGAGAAGTAAGAAAAATGATGTAAAATATATCAGATATATTCATTCTTTTTAAAATTTTCATTTGGAATTTATGCATTTAAGGTTAAAGGAATAGTTTATATTAAAATTGCATAATTCTTTATAATTTTTCTTTGTAATTTTTTTTTCCCTTGTATGTATCATTATTTATTTCTTATATAAGTGTATATTACTTTAAATCAGCCCTATGATGGGAATTTTGAAATAAATCTATCTTACATTTCGAAGATATTAATATTACAGCTCAAGTTAATTATAGATGTCGAATCAGAAATATATAGGTGTAAAAAGAAAACTTGCTAATGACATTTGATGGAAAGATATTAAAGAGTACTTACGTACTGTTCTGTTTTGTGTCGAAATTAAGTTAAACAGAAATAGTGTGCTTGACAATATATTTTCTACTTATAAATGTTAGACTTTGCTTTTGATTGGAAATTAGGACTTAGGAGTTCACCGGCCGCTTAGATTGTTGATAATGCAATATGCGAAATCGTCCCGTTCATTTCAGGTGTCAATAAAAAACTAAAATGATATCTTTCTTTTCATGAATTCGAAGTTCTTCTTTGATCAATTTACCAAATTTTAACCTAGTTGCATTTTGCTCAAACTTCTCAAGATAACCATAATTAAACACAAGGCATAATGATAAATACAATATGATGAATTTAGTGAAATGACTTTTTTTTTGGTTATATGGCCATGAGTCCAATTGGAGGGAATAATAAACTAGAGAATACTTATCGTGCACCTATTGGTCTTACTTTTGATACTTTGGTAGACCAATTTGTTTGGTCCAACATTAAATTGTGTCGAGATGGTAATCTACCTTCGAACCCAGACGATAAATATCACTGAAGGCTCCATGTATTGTAAATGTTTTGGAAAATTCTTTTTTTTGAGTATGTATGAGGAGGTGTATAGTTAAAAAAAAAAATGAAAAAAGTGCCTGGCAAAACTGAAAAAAGAAAGACTTTTAAATTATTATTATTATTATTATTATTTTTATCAAGATAGAAACAGAGCCAGATATAATATACATTAAAAGATACAAACATTTTTTATTTATTGTGTTGAACTTTTAATGAGAAAAAGGCCTGTAATTTGTACTTGAGTGACATTAATTGAATTAATACTTAATAAATTCACTGAATCTTGTCACTCCTTTATAACTATCGCTTTCACTATCACAGAACATATTACACATCAAAAAAAAAAAAAGAATATTTTTTAAAAATCATTCCCTTTACTTCTCGTTTTCATCATATGTTTGTTAAGTAAACCTAACCTAGCTTGGAGAGTTACAATTAGGAATGAAACTGCCTGATGATGGAATTATCTTAAAACATCATTGTTACAAGGAACATGAGCATGATTTTGGTTGCCAAGACCTTCCTCCAAATGCCGAATTCAGTTTTGGTTTTGATCGTGGTATGATGATCTTCAAGTATTACTGCGAGTTTTGGTGGACTTAAAAGACAAGACATGTGGCTGTTTATAGTCATCGGCTATCTATGCATTATTGTGAGAATCGCACGTGCTTTTGGGTTGTGAGACCAGATGGGTTTTACATAAAGCGTGGTGGTACTTTAGAGAAAATGAATGTATGGCTTGATCAATGATCAACATAAAAAATATTGTTCTAATAAGAATAAAACTTTTGTCGAGTGAATTCTTTCTTTTCTGTTTTTTTGTAGATTTCAATTGTTGCTACTTCCTCTTCGTATCTAATTACAAAGCATTTCCATTTTGTGGGATATGTTAGATGAAGGGGATACTATTATTAGAGAGAAATTTCACGCATGCACACTTCGTGCTTTCCTGGGCTGCAAGCTGATTTCTGAAATTGCCTCTAGTTTATTGGCTGCAAGTCTGCATAGACAATAGTTAAAGTGCTCTTGGCGGGGTTTAAAACTGAGACTTTTTGGGACCTTAAATTTTTGATACCATGTCTACTACCACTTGGATTTTTGATGCCATGTCCATTACCACTCGACAACCTCTTGTTTCATAGTTTTTTTTTTTTTTTTTTTTTTTTTTTCATTTAAGAATCACAACATATCAACCTGAATTGTGGGTTCGCACATATGTGATAAGCACGTCAACAAATCTCATAAAGTTTTGGAATCAAATCACTTCTAAGATATTTCAAAAAAAAAAAAAAATCACATCTAAGATAATTGAACCTCATAAATCTCTATTGTTGTAATAATAGTTATAAAAATGATGAAGGATGCCTTAAGCTATTTGTTATTTATTTTATTAGTCTCAAAATAATAGTCCAAATTGTTGAACTAAAATAATATAAATGAAAATAATTATTTTGTGACCAAAAGAGTAAATTATTTAGTCAATATTGTAATCTGATTACTGAAATATGAAATACATTATCCTGTCTATAAACAAAATCAAATAAGATTGTTCCAACCCTTTTAAACACCTGTCAAGATCATATAAATGCTTTCGACTTGCAATATACCCCCCAATAAAATTAAGAAGAAAAAACATATATATATATATATATATATATATATATTTGTTTCTAGTAGCAGTAAGCAAAAATAATGACTATACACTCCTCTATAAATAACATTTTGAGTTTTTGACCATCGGAAAACATAATACTCACTGAACAATAACAACAGAAAACATGAGTACTTTTCGAAAATCATTCGCTTCCGTTCTTCTTCTTTTCATCATATGTTTCCTTAGTACATTAAAATCTAACCAAGCATATCACTGGTATGTTACTATTAGGAGTTATTTGCCTAACGATGGCAATATCTTAAAATTTCATTGTTACAAGAAAAAAGGTGATGATTTTGGTTGCCGAGACCTGCCTCCTACTGCCGAGTTCAAATTTGATTTTGAGAAATCTTTTTTTGCTAACCCCGAATATTACTGTGAATATTGGTGGACTTCAAAGACCAAGAAGATGGCTGTTTTTGATTTTGAAGTATCAATCCATTACTGCACACCCCCTTCTTGCACTTGGGTGGTGAAACCAGATGGTTTTTACGTAATGGACGCTAAAAAAAATTTAATAAATGTGAGTGGTTGGGACCAGTGATCATGATGTATAAATGTTAATCCTTTCATTACAAAATAAATGTCGTTTTAGTAAAATAGAAAAATTTCAAAATAAGTATCGTTTTTAGATATCAATACATTTTTTTTTATCAAAAATTTCTAAACATACTCTCAAAAGAAATAATATTATTGGCGAGCATTATTTTAATGTAGTTGGTTGAGGATATTCTAGTAACTAAACTACCTTATTTAAGTGTTTATTAAACTGTATGCAAACTCTAAAATAACACTTATTTTGAAATAGAAGGAGTATTGTGTATCAATAATAAAAGTTTTAACGAGTCATTGTTTTCCTCATTAGCCTTTGTACTGCCTCTTTTCCTCTAATTACAAGATGTTTCGATATTTCTTTCTGTTTATTTCTTATTTGAAATATGTCAGTCTCACCTATGAGTTTTTCAAATTTGTGGTAAGGCTGGTAACAAATTAATCTTACAAAATTCAAGAAGCACATCGCATGTGAGACAATGATGAGGATGATGATGATAATAACAGTATTAAACTATAGTAATAATGCAAGACAGTTGAGGCAGTCTTTTATTATAAGTTTATTCAGACAATATAATCTGATTGTCAAAATCCAAAATCTACTATTTCTTCTAGAAGCGAAATCGAATTAATTAATTTGGGCCAAAGTTTCTAAA